AACTGAGGTAGAGGTTACGTTTTAAACTCACTGCAGAGGTTGCCAGGGCACACTATGTGTTGGCTTTCCTTTTCTTCACAAGCAGTTTGGCTCTTCTAAGGAGGAGTAGAAGTTTCAGTGAGCAGACCATGCAGGGATGTTAGATCTGACAGTGAGGACAGACTCCTGTGGCTAATTCTGGTCACCTCCTGCACTGTCAGCCCTTTAGGGTTTTTTTGTTTATTTGTTTTTCCTGGTAGTACTGCCATGTCCTCTGACCCAGTAGCCAGGATTCTGAGTCTGTCCCCACACAATGCTAGGAGATAAAGCCTGAGTTATGAAATTTCTTAGTGCAAAATCTTGCGTAATTGGCACCATCTGAGAAGCAAAAGGAAACTTGTAAGCTCGGAACAAAGAAGTTTCTTAAAAGAAAAAAGAATAATATATCATGGCATTTATAATGGCAATTTTGTTAAATCAGATATATCACTTTAAAAAAAATTGGTTTAAAATAAATTACTGCTTTGACTTCTTGCTCCTCCTAAAAATGTAAAATGAATAAGCCATGTTTGTTTGGGTTTAATCAATTTTGGTTTACTGGTAATTTTTTTTTTTTTTTCAAATAACCAACTCGTGCGTTGTATTTTCTTATAGCCCTATCTGTTTGTTAAAATGTCAGGATTTCTAGTGCTAATCTAATTAAATTGACTCAGGTGGCAATATTTGAAAAGGGTCCTGTCTCCAGCAGCGTGTCAGGTAGCTGGCAAGCAGCCAGCACCAGCAGCACCATTTGGGTACTACCCGAATTGTCTTGCCAGCTGCTAGTGCAGCTTTGCAGGGGGGGAGCTGAAGCCAACCAAACAGGGTGGCAAGACCATCACCTCTGATACTGCTGGGGCCAGTCCTCCCTGATGTAACTATAAAAGTGGTAGAAGTCATTTATTCCTCGACTAAATTAGCAGTAGCACTGATAATGTTGCACTGAGATCAGGCTGGTAACGAAGTATTACTGAGAACTCTGGCTGCTGCTGAGGTGGATCTGCAAATAAATGAGCAGTGTTTGCAGACAGTAGTGGTTCACCGTTGTCATGTAAAAATACGATAATCATAAGTGTAGCATATGATTAGTGTACTTAATCGTAAGTAAGAAGACTTCATCATAAATATAATTTGGTTCAAACTGGGATCCCTGTTTTCAGAAATAACAATGTACAATGTTTCTTTTTACTGTTATCTGACAGTGGCATGAAATAACTCTTAACTGTAAAATATTCATATATTTAGCTTCAAATGCAGGTAGGATGTTTTTACAATACCTGTAGCCACCAAGCAGCCTGACAAGGGCTCTGGACTATTAATTTGCAACACTACAATGGGCAGAAGCAGCCAACTGACTGGAAGGAAATGTACTTCTCTGTTGGTGATTTGTACCTGTGTGTGTTTCTTTTTTTATTCTTTAAACTCTCTCTTAATAAATGAAAACACTCTTTTAAGACTGAAATGATAAAAACTCCTCCCTGGCGAACCAGAGTGTGAAAGTTTACTGTCTCCAGATATTTCCAGGTGTGTCAGTTTGTTTGGTTCTTTTTTTAAGTTTTTTTAGAAATCATAGTAATAAAAATTAAGGGCATAAAGTATCACAAAGGCATCATAGAAATGTAGTATTGGTATGGACCTCACCAGGTTATTTAATCCATTCTTGTGTCTGAGGAGTGGTCTAATAGTCCTACAATGTTCATCACATTTGTTTTTCTATACTGTTTTTAAAGAACTTCTGAGGAAGTTTTCTTTAAGATAGCTGCTCCATCATTTATCTCACTGTAAAGTTAAGAATTTTTTCTTGGTTTTATCAGGTTTTCCTCTCCCTCACTAAGCTAAATGCTTCTTGTCCAGCCTTTTCAGAGAGAAAAAAACCCACGCTGTTCTTGATTGTATCCTTTCATTTATTTAAAGATTACTAGCTTGTCCTCATCTCACCATCTACTTACTAATTAAACAAAGCTAGTTCTTCCGAGTCTTCCTCAGAACTTACATTTTGTAAATGTACCATTTTTATCTTTTTTTTCTGGACCTTCTTTCCCTCTTAAACCACCATGTCTAAAATTAGGCACAGTATTCAAACTCTGACTTCAGCGCTGCTAAATAGAGCAGAATAATTATCTCCTGTGAGGTGCACGTAACACTCCTGTTAATCCTTTACAGAATTAAATTTGTCTGGTTTTGCTCTTTTGCATTACCATGTTCACGAGTGATCCCTCGTTTGTGATTCAGTGTCACTATAGATCCCTTTTGGCATGATCTTCATGTATCCAGCTGGCACATTTCTGGCAAGTCACTAATTAGCAGGTTGTAAGATGTCCCTAGAGTAGCGAACCCACTGTGACCAGGGCACCTGTAAGTGTAGGCAAAGAAAGATCCCTTAGATTTGCTGGAAAGCATTTTTTTACCTAGTACTTGATTTTCTCTAGGATACCTGCCACATCAAACAGAAGTTTCTCTCTCTACCCTTCCTTTATAGTCAACTCAGTTGCTTAACATTGGCACTGTATCTTTAATACTTAGTTGTTTTTGACAACCTTTCTTGCAACCCTCTATTCCTATTACAATGATCACTCCAGAAATTTAACTTCTAGGGGCCACTTTATTAAACTGGTCGATGGTAAAGCATCATCTGAATATCCAACAGCAGTCTGGCTACAACAGCATCAGCAATGACTAATAACACGTTTGTTGCCCTCTGGAGATGCCAACACAGCTTGCTTGGCTATGTCAATGCCTAATGCTGCCCACAACCCTGGTCACCCCATCACAAAAGGGTTTACGAATAGAAAGGTCTGGAGAGAAGCAGCTAGGCTGAACATGAGGCTGTACAAACAGACATACAGCCACGGTGGGGTCAAAGGCGCAGCTGATGCAGCACCTTCCGAGAGCAGCTGACAGGGGAGGCCAAGAGGTGGCTGTGAAAGCAGTCCACGTGGGATCTTGCGTTATATTTCCCAGATGAGTTATGAGATCAACGAGTAAGGGAAACCTGCTGTTTGAGGGCAAATTCAATAGATTTTCTTGCTAAAGAAAGATCCCTGAATGGGAATATGATACAGGAATGTAAGTCACAAATGGTATGGAAAAAGTGCGTGGAGAACAGTCATATAAATTTCACATGGCAAAGAAGATTTCCAACAACATTTTTCAGGAACTGAGATTTAAAACAGTCTAAATATAATCTTTTTTTTTTTTTTTTTGCCTAACACTTAAGTAAACTAATGAAACTAATGCAGTTTACTTGCATAACTAGGCTTATGCTCAAGTTTAAGCTAACTAGGAAAGTCCTTGTCAAAGGTTGCTGCAGCTGTCCAAAAGGATGAAAGGATAAAAAATGTTAGAGAGAACAGGAGAAAAATCTATTGGGATTTTAGGGTAAAAATGTACACAGAGCTGTTTCTCAGGAAAACTGCTGGCAGGCAAGAGGGTTTTCTGTTCTGTCCCGTCACTCCTAGTGTTTGCAAATGACCCCTGCTGAAGAAAGCCGAGCCCCAGCTCCAACACAGCACAGCTATTTTAGGGATCCGCATGTCTCAGTTTCTGTAACCTCTCCAGTGGCTACCAGCCTGTGTATTTTTCAGGACAGATCACACACACGTGCTGCGTGGGTCACAGCTGGCGGAGGTGAGCTGTGCAGCTCACTACAAGCATCTATCAGCTGCTCCAGCTGCCAGCAGCAGCTCAGCTGTGGCTTTGCTATGGCCTTCGAGTAAGGAAGGGGTGTAATTTTGCTGTCCAAGGAGCAGAACTGGGCTTAAAATAGGATACTGAGAAGGAGTATCTATTACCTGGCTTCTTTCTCATGCCTTGGTGTTGATTTTACGGATGTCAGTGACAAATGTTACCCCGTTTTTTATGCTGGTAGGGCTTTGCTGGGAAGGAGAGACACTCTACAGGTTATTTGGGAGATGCAAAAGGGTGTTAAACCATAGCCTCTTTACTCTTTCACTCACCTAGTGATGAGTTCCAGCTATGCTCCTTAACTTTTTGAGTTTCTAGTTACTATCTGGTGATGAAAGCTCATATGAAGGGCTTTGTCAAGAGTGCAAGGGCACCTTACAGTGGGATAAATATTGTTGTCAGGTATAGAATCATACAATTAGATAATCACAGAATGGTTTGGGCTGGAAGGAACCTTAAAGCCCATCCAGTCCCACCCCCTGCCATGGGCAGGGACACCTCCCACTAGCCCAGGTTGCTCAAAGCCTCATCCAGCCTGGCCTTGAACCCCTCCAGGGATGGGGCATCCACAGCTTCTCTGGGCAACCTGGACCACTGCCTCACCACCCTCACAGGAAAACATTTCTTCCTTATATCTAATCTAAATCTACCCTCTTTCAGCTTATAACTGTTACCCCTTGTCCTCTCACTGCACTCCCTGATAGTGTGTATCAATCAGCAAGATCATAATCTGAGCACAAGCATTGAGCTTGTGTTAAAGAACCATTTTATTTCTTTTTTTCATGTCTACTAACATGCTGGGTATTTGCTTTAAAAAATGTAGGTAAGCTTCTACACCTGGAGATGAAATTGTTTATATTGCAAGTTGACACTACAAACTTAGCAACCAGGTTACAAGCACAAAACTGAGCTACGTTGAAGACACTAACAACACACAGGGCCAGGCTTAGTGACACTGCCAGGGAAAGGCTAGGCACCGTCAAGAACAGACAAATATTCACTTTGAGTTAACCTGTGACCATCGCAACCTGCAGCATGGAAAGGCATTGAGAGAAATGGCAGAAGAAGCTGTGTCTGTGACATTGTGGTGAACATCCGTACTCATTTTTACCTGGGAGAGAAACTGAAGCGTTTAGCTTCTTCCCTCAATTGCTCACAATCTTGTATTTTTTTTTTTCTGATGTAATTATTCTTCTGTGGAGATCGTGGAGGGGAAAAATGGCCACTGAAAACCTATCTGCCTTTGCTTAGCTTTTTAACCTCTTTTTGCCTGCGTGCTCTTACAGGAGACTACTACAATGACAGATCCTTCAGTGGTGGATCACCTGACACGACTGAAAATCAAACTCCTAGAAAAGGTAAGGGAGTAACTCTGTAGTGGTCACCTTTGCTCTGCTTTTTGCTCTTGAATGTGTAAGGATTAACATTGTATTTTACATAATGATATTTCTACTGAGATATAAAGAGGATCTGCAGCCAATTGAGAATCTTTGTGTAAGCACCGCTAATGTGCAGTGGTACTACAGTCACTATCACTTCCTTAAATAACTGTACAAGCTTACATGGACCTACAGTAAATTAAAAATAGAGTTAAAGTGAATTTGATGTTATGGGAGATGTCACCAGTTATGTCAAAACTAGTTTGAGTTGTGACAGGCAAAGTTTAGGAGTAAATTTTGGGTAAAGAGGACCTCAGATTGTTTTAAGGCATTTTCATGTCTTCTTTTTTGTCTACTTTTATGTAAGATATGTTACCTGGTGAAACACGGGCAGACCTTCACTGGAAGTGCCTGAGGTGCTGCACAGAATTCCAGTAGCTCTTTGTTTTGACTCTGCACACTAACGCACCCAGGGTTCTCCACTCAGCCCTGCTCCTCCACCCTCAGCACATCTGACATCTAGCAGTGTGGATGTGCTGCTTTCACTGTCCTCCAGAAGCCACTGAAAAAGTTGTCTGGAAGGAAAAACAATTTCCCTGGAGACGTGAACGCTGGAAGTCCATCTAACCTGTCTCTGTGGTGGAGTCTTTTGTTCTTAGATGCAGCAGCCATTGGAGGGCAAAGCTTTCACCAGTGTGGAGCCATGCACAACCAAGAAAAGAGCAAAAGGTCTCTAACTTCTCAGCATCGGGGAGCAACAAGGGCCAGCTGCTCCCTAAGGAGCAAGGAGTTGAGCACAACAACACAGCCAGCAGGGCAGGGGCCTGGACAGTCAGCCCCTAAGCAAGAGGTTGAGCCAGGTTCAACCCAAAGTCCCGCTCTATCAGGCAAACTCATGGCGATGGGGCCATCCTGGGAAGCATCTGCAGGTTGGGATGAGGGTGAAAAGGTTCCATGGCCAGTCAGAGGCACGGCTGTCGTTTTGCTGCAGGCTAGCAGTCCCCCAGTATAGCTCAGGTATGAACTGAAGACCTAGAGCTGAGACTAAAGGGGCTCCTGGGCACGTGAGCTGTGGGTGCGGATGGAAGCCCTAGGTGACAGGGCACTGAGACCAGGGCCATTTATGCCTATTAGTGCATTGAATACCCCAAACTGTCTGGCATTAAGTTCATATGATCCAGCTGTCTGCCCTCCAGAATCAAGGATGTACAAGGCTGCTGATTCACCATGCTATCAGTTTCCAGGTCTGGGATAGGCTGGCCAGTTGGAACCATGACTGCTCTTTTACCATAACTAGATTTGCAGTGAGACATTTCATATTTCTATGTATGCTTCTTGTAGCCCTCTCTAGCTGTGATTTAGCAGTTAAGAAGCACCGCTTGTCTCCACTTCTGCTTTATTTCCACCATCCCAAACCTATGTCTGTAAGGTAGGGTTGGAAATTGTCGTACACTTTGCTCCCTGACTTGTAACCAGTTCTTGTTGTGATTCTACCAACAGAGACTAGAAAATGAACATGAGAACCTAGAGAAGATGGAGTCACCTCTCCCAACTGCAAGTAAAAGAGAAACATTTGTTCTAATTATGGATATGATATGGAAAGGGCTTAGTGACATTCTCAGGCACGAGTTCCTCAGCAGGTCACACCAGATGATCACATCTCCTCCCTAAACACTGTGTGTCTCTGAGGGATCCAGGCAGGAGGAACACTCCACAACTAATGCTGCTTTGCACCTTTGAAGCTGACCAACACAGCCTTATGCAGACCAGAACATGGTTTCCAGTGTAAAAAAAAAAAAAATCTGACTCAGTTTATGGAAAAAAAAAAAGTTATACTGAAAGAGTTGGTCTTGAGGATTGTGTTGATAAGAGCTGGGAAACCATGCTACCAGGAAACGATGCGTGTGCAATTACATCCTGACTTTGGTTTGGGCAGAGTCAGGAATCCCAGCATGCTTATGAAACCGCCAAAGTTCAGACAATTCTCTATAAAAGCTATCAAACCAGCTAAAGGTTGATAAATAAGGGAGTTGAAAATAACTTGTGTCTTTATCAAACCCTTTCAAGGACTGCTGTGATGTTTCATGTACAAGCAGTGTGTTGCCTTCAGCAACACTCCCATGGAAGCTACGCATGCCATGTGCAGTGCATCCATTTCTTTGCATGGCACATGCAGTGTTTACAATTCTATTATCTATGGATTAAGGCTACCATTAGAAGATCAGTAATATTTCTAGATTTTACTCTGCGCTCATATCCATTGAACTGCTGCAGAAATAGTTGGAAACTTTTAATGCTGTGGCCAAAATTAAAAATCCCTTGAACAACTTCCAGTTTCAAAATAGGAAGCAGTGCTTTTCAGAGCAGATGCCAGGCATGCCTCCAACACATCTGAAAACATTCTTTCTTATTTTCATTTCAAGTGAGTTCAAAATCAGTTGTATGTGGGAAGAACTCAAAAGGAAGCTAATGCAGAAAAAAAAGGAAACATGAAAGTTTGACATTCAAAACTGAGTTTGTTTTGACATGTCCCAAAAAACTTTTTTTACACTTTCTCTGTATGTACAAAGTATATCTAGAAGATTTAAGTCTGGAATGAGTTTCTAAGCCAGGAGGTTAAAAGAAGGCTTTAGAGAGCAATCTGAAAGTTTATTTCAGAGAAGGTGCATTGCCTTTGTAGAGCTGTTGAACAACTCTGGATGTGGCATCAAGTCATCATCCATTTATGGATTTGACAAGAAAAGTAGCCCAAAGCCTTTTGTGGAAGAGTCCAAGCTATCTTATAATGCGTTATCCAGAATTAATCTCATAATGTAGGTGCTATAATAGCTCTGTCTTTGTGATCCTTTGAGAAGATAATGGACTTTTCCTCCTTCAGGGAACAGACATGAGGATATGCTCCACAGTGCCCTAAGGCGACAGAAGGATCTCCTGCGGGAGCTTAGGGTAAGAGCCCTCTCTGTGGACAGAAACAACATAAAGGGCCAGGTTATCTGCACATCCATGTCTTTCCTGTCCTTTAGTTCTTTGGCTGGGCAGTGTTCAATCATCTGCTGGTTCCAAGCACAGAGTCTGGGCGAGCTAATGAGGGAGAGGGGCTGGAGAGCAGGATGTCTTCCCTGGCTACAGCTAACGAAGCTTGCACCTCTTCAGTTAGTTGGTGGGTTGATCCTGTTTGTCCTGAACTGCTGTATCATAAGCTCTCTGGGGTAGAGCCAAAGTGCAAAGAAGGGCTTTTTAATGCCGCCGAAGTAGGGACAATAATAAGTGTTACTTATTCCTAGTTTGTGGAAGGTACCAACTGCTAACTGAATGTTTTCCCAGACTTTTGGAAGTTTGTTCTTCACTTTTTTCCCATTCATTTATGCTTGCTCTGAAAACTGTACGGCTTCAAGATTCTACTTATGCGGGCACTGGTTGAGTGCTTCCTTTCATGAGACAGTCACTTGTGGTCTGCCTGTCAGACGTGGCAGTGCGGGACGCGTCTGCAGCAGCATTTTGGTAAGCGAGGCTGCGCCCTGCTGCGGGCTTCCAAGTGCTAATCCCATTCAGTCCAGAGAGGGTAACAACACTGTCTGCCTTTCTGTGACCAGGTTTTCTTTAAGAAGATACTTGATTTTGCAGGAGCAGCACCTTCTGGAAGAGCTTTCACAGCCCCCTGCACCAACTGGAAGACATGGTCATAACCACAGAGCTGCCCCCCCGCACATCTACCAGATACCTTTTCCAGCCCCCCAGGCAGAGCCACCAAGGATTATTCAGCAGACGGTGAGGATCCTCTCTCCTTGGAAATACCGTTAGCATTGTGCTGGTCTGAGACAACCACTGCAGGTGGAGGGGTATGGGGGCTGTATGGAAAAGCTCATCTCAACAAAAGATAAGCTATGCCTCTTGCTGTTGTAGGCAAAATCTAAGGGAAATCATAAATAAGGCACAAAATTAGCAGTGTGAATGGTTTACCCAGAGGAGTGGGGGGATTGCTCACGCTCCGGCCCTGCCGTTCAGCCACACTGATGTTCAGACACATCACTGTCTGCTCATACAGCCCACAATCTCAACAGCTTCTCCACGAGGATCTCATGGTGGACAACGTCCAAAGCCTTACTGAAGTCCAGGCAGACCATACCCACTCCTCTCCCCTCCCAAAGATGAGGGATCTGGCCAAGACCAACCCAAACTTCTCCATTCGGTTTCTTTTCAGATGCCTCCTCAGCCTGCCACCATCATCCAGCAGTTACCTCAGCCGCCCCCCCTGATCACGCAGATTCCCCCTGCCCAACCTTTTGCACACCCTCGCTCCGGAAGCATTAAAGAAGGTACCGTACCCTCTGTCCAGCAGCCAGCTCCCTTCACCTTCCCCAGAGAGGACAGGCCAGGTGCCACGGCAAGTGGAAGGGGGCACAGGGCGGCATCCAAGGTAGTGACACGCTGTTTCACAACAGGGCTGCTGCTGGAGCTGTGGGAATTGCATTCCATAATTGGACTAGAGACCATTTCTGAGAGGCTTTCAGCCATAGTCTTACTGCTAAAACTAAAGAAAAAAGGACTACAAACTCGGCAAAGCCAGGTTAAGCTGCCAGAGAAGCCTGGGAAAGCAAACCAGCTCAACCCAAGGCACTGAGTAATATTAACAAGGTCAAACTCATGTGCACAGATGATTCCAAAATTAACAATCAGGCTTCTAAAATCTGTTTTTATTGTTTTGTTCCCTCTTAACCTGCAGTTTGATTTCCTCAAAATAATATAGGCTTTTATTATGCCTCGTGTTTGGAAACAAGACAGAACAGCTGAAAGTGCTGTTCCAAATATAGTGTCATGCCAATAAAAAGAGTGTTTCTAAACATAGGTGGATGCTACTGTGAAATAATACATGAACAGAAACCTGGGATGACTTCCCTGGCTTCTTCCCAGAAGGTTTCTTCATCCCACAGAAAAATCTTCAGTCATGACATTGCAATATTTCTCAGCAATTTCTTCATCTAAGTGTTTGGATTTTTGAATCAGAGTTTATTTGCATAAACAAAATAGTCCCAATTCACGCATGACTTTTCTGAAGCTGATACATGTAAATTACTTTTGGTATAACTAGTTAAAAAAAAAAAAAAAAAAAGGAGAATTGCCTTGATTTTTTTTTTTGCTTCTTTTTTCCTCCCTTCTCCATCCTTCCTCCATACCTCCCTCCCAAGCAAATTATGTGCCACTGCACAGGCCCTTTGGGATTAGGACCAAGAGATAAGTAGATCCGATGCACATGCAGTGGACTCTCAAGGTGGCACTGCAGTATCACATAAAATTGAGGAAACCTCTCGCACAGAAAGTACTGATCTTGAGCCAAAGCCATGGAGAGTGCTGTAAGGAGCCGGTCAGCTCTAGCACTTGGCCCTTCTCCAGCCTGCCAGGCAGCATAGCCAGAGGGGTGGACTTGTAGGGAAGCTAAGACAGAAGATGCTCAACATCAGCTTTTTTATAGAAGGGAGGAGAAACAAGAGAGCTGGTCTGAACAGTCTTATTCATAGACATTAATTTTGCAGTGGGCAAATGACGCTAATATTCTTCACGTGTCCTTTTCATCTGCTTTGTCTTGGTTGCAGTGACCAGTCTGTATGCTGGAGGGCACTTCTTACTGAGATGCCTCTGCTGCTTGTCAGTTGGTGATAAAGCTTTTATTTTCTTCCCAGATATGGTAGAGATGATGCTGATGCAGAATGCTCAGATGCACCAGATCATCATGCAGAACATGATGCTGAAGGCTCTGCCACCGCTGGCGTTTGCGCAGCCTGCCGGAGCCGGCTCTCCCCTGCTTCAGCATGCGCAGCAGGTAACTACACTAGAGTCTGAAGGGCATCCTTCCTCACACGAGGCAATAGTTGATCTCCTGGAGAGGGTGCAGGGTCTGGACAAAACGTGCAGAGAGTCTGGGACATTTAACAGCTGTGTACATCTTCAAACCCACTGCACCAGAAGACTCTTACTGAGCAGAGCACCGCCTGCCTCTTTACCGTGATGAGCACTGTGATAGGACCCAACGGAAGAATGCCTCCTCCACAAATGTAAACTGGATTCAGTCCAGCTCTGAAAATTATCTGCCCTGAACAGCAGAACCACTAACAGACTATGCATGGAAGACACCTACACTGGGCATCCAGTTCCAGGTCCACTTGCTGCAATCTGCAGGGCAGTATTTGTGTTACAAATCCTGTAACTGGTAAAAATTAACCTGGCCGTTTTGAAATGGGCTAGAGCTGAAGCACAGATTTTGTCATCGTACTTGGAGCCTCACTGCTCTAGTTCCTGTCTCACTGAAAAACAATGGCTACTGAGCTCTGAAAGGACAGATCTTAAAGATATTTTGATGTGCAGAGCCCTATAGAGATTTTTCCAAAATGTGTCCAGTGCCTGATAAGAGCAAGGTAATTTTGAACATACCCTTAGATGCCCAAATCCTAAGCTATTTTTAACAAGGTGATATAGCTCCTTATTGTTCTTAAGTGCTTTGGAAAAATTTATTTCTAGTGTCTACTGTATAACATTTATTACCTAGGAAGCAAGGACAGTTGATCTTTGGGGAGGAGGGGATGTCCCAACGCTGCAAAAACTTCCCCTGTACTTTTCCTACCCCTCCATTTTCAGGCTGTGCCTCTCCCCTGTGCTGTGAGAAAGATCTGTTCTCTTTTTCTTGGATGTTAAGGTTGTTGGATGCTGAGAAGGTAACCCCCACACTTCTGCAGTCCTTGCTCAGCTCACTCCCACCTTTCCTACGTGCTATTTGCAAAAGCAACAAATGGCTTAAAAGCCCCTACTCCTGAAGTCTAACGGAGGGGTGGGAAACACAATCCTCCTCCCCAGCCCGCCCCGTGGCGTGGAGGAAGCCGATGGGTTTTGCACCTGTTGGGACCGATTGTTCGCCCCAGACAGAAAGCCTCTGACTCTCACATTTTGGGGTGCTGACTTCTAGGTGGCCACCCCGTGGTGCAGAGGGGCCCGCTGGCTTCATCAGCCCTGGTCCCGGGGGGGACATGCTGTGGAAATGGTAGGCAGTGTCAGCTCTTCCTTGCGTCAGAGTTGTGCTGAGCAGTGCCTCTGACGGAGGTCCTTTTCTATGTTCCTTACACTTTGCGGTTTCTGGTTTTGAATGCTCTTTTCCCCTTGCTGTGAGGACAATGTCTGGGGCAGATGGTGGTGCTGCGTCTAAGGGAAGGTGGCAGAATGCATCACCCCGGTCCCCACCTTCCTCCCAAGGCCATCCTGTCACCGTGCATTTCCCTGACATGGACCAGTGGGATAAACTGGGGAAAAAGGGGTCTGAGTACCTCTGAATATCAAGTGAAATCTGAAATCAGCGAGTGTCTGCTGGGCCTTCCAGGTGTTGGAGCCTGCAAAGCCCATCTCCAGATACATGCTGAAGGACTCCCTTTATCAAGGGGTGGCCAAGTGGGAACCCAGCCCCTCGGCCAGGGACCCTTTCCGTGGGGGCACAGGTTTCACAAATCTCCCTTTGTCTCTCTCCAACAAGGACCTGCCGTTCGCTGCTCCCCTGGCTGTGAAATCAGAGAGGCCCAGGCCATCTGCGGTGCATCACCACCACCATTACCCTCCCACAGGGATGCTCCCGGTGCCCCATGGTGGTTTCCCATCCACATCCACAACACACCCCTGGACCAGCAGCACACTCCCTGCCCTGCCTACGTAAGTAAACAGGCTGCCATGATGTAAACTTTTAGCCCTTCCTTCCTGCTCAGGTGGGGTAGCAAGGTAGACCAGACAATCCCATGCCTTCATGGTTGTTCGCTAAGGCCAGTCTTGAATGTTGTCTTTAATTCAACAGTGGGATTAAGGCGAGTTAAGTAATGAGTTGATACACCCAATCCTATAACTTGAGTAATTAACCCTTGCTCACTGTGGAATAAACATGAGGATCAGACGAGGTCTACAGATGATACCCAGCTGTGTTCCTGCCACACAGAGCCAGCACAAAGCTGCACGGCTCTGCTTCGCAGTGCCTGTTACCCTAGGTTTTGGGTCTCCCTGGGAACCCAGCAGACACCTGCTAAATAAGGGCTGCATGTGTTTTACATTCAGGCCAAGGTTCCCGGTAGCATTTATATTGTTCAAACACTGCTGAAACACTCACGAATCAAAAATTCCTGGAAAAAAAAACCCACCACCCCTCACAAAAAAAAATGGTACAAAGGGAGGGGAGTACTCAGAAATAAAGCTGAGCCTCTGTGATAAGCCTGTGCTTGCAGACAAGGTGGTGTTTCAAGTGCAGAAATTGATGGACTCCTCCCCAGGCAGCCCCCAGGTCTGTAGAGTGCTCAAACCCTTAGCAGAGGTCAGCAGCCAGCTCTTCCAGGGGCTCACTTGCCTGTGCCTTCCCTGCGATCTCAGCTTGTCCTGATCGGCTTTTTAGGCGTGAGCAGATCACATTGGCACTAGTGTTCAAACTGGTCTGCTCATGCAAGGGGGGCCTTGGGAAAGGACCTGAGCCAAGAAAGAGCAGTGGTTGTCCGCAGTACATCAGAAGGGGAGAGTAAGAAAGCAGGCATGGATTTTCATTCCTAGGCTGGTAAAGAAATGCACATTGCTAGAGTGTGGTGGGGTGGCTGAGGACTTTGGGATGGGGACTCACTGCTGTGTCAGCCAGAACACAGCCTTTATTTCTGTGCTATGGCTCTTTCAAAGCCTTAATGAATGGAAGGACAGGATGGAGACAGCCGCATCCTCAGGCATGGGTGACCTTCTGGCAGAGGTATCTCTGTGGCCCTCTTCAGCACGGGATTTGAATTCCTGAACAGATTATTGACCTAATGTGATTATAAGGGATAAACATTTCTACTCCTTTCACTTTTGCAGGGGTTTGTAGTCTGTTACTGGTCAAGATCTCTTGGCTCCTTCCAGAATTGGTGCAATTAGCTGTTTGCAGAAATCAGCAAAGGAAGTTCTTGTCATGGCTTTTAAACTATCTTGTCTTCTTCCTCTTCTTCAGCTACCTTCCACCATAAATTAGGAGACCCAACACATTTTCACTGTCCTTTTGCAGCTGCAGCAAGCATGCACTGTTGGCTATTACCAAACACAACCAAGCCATCTTTCTTGTTGCAGGTGGCCCACACACTGACAGAACGTGTTCCGCTGCAAGCGGACCAGAGCATTGGTGAGGTCAACCTGTATTGGAAGAGTTCCTAAATAACCTGTCTGGTTGACAGCCTAATGTCTATATGACTGCACAGTGTTGGTACAAGAAGTGAGTGGGAGAAAGACTGCAGATGCTCAGAACAAACGTACCATGCACCTGTGGTCTGCTCACCCGTTTCTGCTAGTTCAGTTGGTTCCGCTCATTTTCCAAGCCCAGACCAGCCACAAGCAATCACCACTTTTTTTTTCTTTTTTTTTTTTTTTTTTTTTTCTGTCTCTTCACAGAATCAAGAAAACCCATCCCAAAGTGTCTTACAGGCCTGGCAACTCACAGCAGCCCCTGGGTATGAAATAATCTTATCACCAGTGTTAACTGAACCCTTGAAAATGAGCCTGACCCAGCTCCAGGGCTGGGAGTTCCCTTCATGTGGAAACTGAGGAAATGTCCCTTGCAAAGGGGCCTGCTGCCCTCCTGGGGAGGACGATGCAAACTGGCCCAGGATGCCCGAATGAGAGTTTAGTTGCCAAACCTCATCAGCCTGAAGTATTCCTCCCTCAGTTTTTGATTTTATTCCCTCACAGATATATTTGTCCTACAGTAATGGTAG